GATGGGAGGTTCTCCAGTCCCCTCAGCACCCACATGGTCCTTCATCCCACTGACTCACCTGGGAGCTGTAGGAAATATCTTCTCCCTTCTGCTGGTGCATCATCCCCTTCCCTAAAACCTAAATTCTTTTGGGGAACGAGTAAAGAACAGAACAGAAGAATCTTAGCAGCACACTTGTGACTGATGAGTTGGAATAAAATTCTCTTTTAGACAAATGTCCATTTTGCCTTATTAATTTAAACAAGGATTTTAAAGACAAAGCCCATCAAACATTAGATAAGCCTTTTAAGTTAATGGACCATGTAGTCCTATTTTCCCACAAACTCAGGAATCTTCATAATATGTCCTATTTTTACAGCAACATCAATTATTAATATGTATACTTTTGCTGACAGAGGACCACACTAAAAATGTGAGTTTCGTTATCCAGTTCTGGGTCATTAACTGTGAAAAGCTTGTAAATATAATGGTTTATTCACATGGGAAGCCTTCATTAAGATGCATTATTCTACAACTGATGTGGCAGCATTGCATTATCAAGTTCACTGTCTCCATCTAATATTTGTAATTTGTTTCTAAATGAGTTGCTGTTTGTAGGGCAAGTTAACAAATTTGAATTTCACATGGCCAGAGAAATTTCTTAAAGATAGGAAAATGCTTCTTCCCCCAAGGAAAAGCTATTTATTAGCATCTTCCTGGAGAATGCCTCCCTTTGATTCAGAAGCAGGAACATTAGAGGCGTGGAGAGAAGGGACGTTAGAGATAAATTGGCTTTTGTCTTCCTTCCATGCACATTAGAGGGCTGTGGAAGCACACCCAGATAACTTAAGAGCTCCTCAAGAGCCACGTGGAAACATGGAGAGTTCTTCCATGATGCTGCAAGGCACAGGTCACAGGCTGGCCAGCAGGGATCCCAGCATTCCTGCTGGAATTCATCCTCTCTCTTGGCACTTTCCAGCCATTTCACTTCCTATTCCCTCTTGCATCTTCAGATGGCCAAAGCTTTTTCAGACCTGTTTCCTTCTGAGTTCTGCTGGCTGGCAAGAGAACAGAACCTCCAGCAGGGCTGTGGGAGAGATTCTGTCTCCTTCTGAAGGCCCAGGAGCACCTGGAGGTGAACACAAGGCACACAGGTTGTGCAGTTGGCTCCTCATTCCCGAAACAGGGTTAGGAATGTGTTTTATGCTGAAACCATAAAATCATGGAATGGTTTGGGTTGGAAGCACCTAAAAGCCCATCCAGTTCCAACCCCCCCCGAATGAAAATGGTGTTAATAGAGGTTCCATGGCAAACAAAACCCTGAAACTGGTGAGGTTCATGCTTCTGTGATTATGTCAAGAACACTGTGGACAAAATAAAACAAGTTTACCAGAGCAGCTTTCTTCAAAGCTGGAAGGTATCACCTATGCTATTCATAGCTTATTTTCTTTTTTTTAAGTGTTTAAATAGTCTAAAACATTTTATATCATCAATTACTCGACAGAAGAAAAGCATTTTCTGTGGAAATTCCTGACAAATGGTAGACAACTGACAATTCCATCCTCTGGACATGTTGTTACATCTTTTCAGCAGCTCCCACTGCCCCAGTGTCTAGGTTATGTTGCTAAATTCCCTTCCACACTTAGTTTTGTCTATTCCTCTTCTTAGTCCCTCCCTAATCAATTAATTCACTTCCTTGAGCATCCACACTCTTGGATCAGTTCTTACATTTTTAACATAGTTCCGATTTCACTTGGCCAGCATGCACATAAATTCTTCTGATGTCTCCTCATCCTTGTTTTCCTCAAGTCCATTCATTTTTTGTTTACATGACTGCATTGATTTCAAAGTGACAGAACAGAGAGCCAAGCCAGCTGTACATGCACCTGTGCTGTTTTATTTAAAAACCCAGTGCCTGTGGCACGATGTCCTCACTGCCAGCCAGTGCTTTCCTCCTGGTTCTCCTGTCCCAGAGCAGGAGCCAGCCTTGGGTTCCTGACCCCTCCTGTCTTCCCCCATGGACAGGGCACTACTCTGTGTAAGTTCCTCGTCAGCCAGCCCTGAGTCCTTCAGGCCTCATTTCTCACAGCCAGCTGTGCTCCTCATGTCCTGCTCCCATCACAGCTGGAGGGTGTTACTGCCAAACAAGAAATCAGGAGGACTGGGGGAAAGAGAGAGTACAGCCTTATCAACTTCTATTCTCTTTCATGCTTTTTCTTTAGGGAAATATTGAAGGTGAATGGCTGGGGTCTTGTTCTAGAAGTAATTCTCATTTCTTCTGTTTTCTTGTAGTAAAATGGACTGTGGAAAACAACAAATTTTAAAAAAATACAACAGAGCTTCTCATAAGCTGTTCTGCAGGTTTATGTCTGTACTCCAGCCTTGGTGCTGAGTACAGCTGACAAACTCCTGTTAGCAGATGTATTGATAACTGAATGGTGCTCAGACAGGGAACTGGACAAATATTTACCCAGGACTGAGCTGGGTTTTGCCAACCAGAACATTTCCCATGGCCTTGTTGTTGTCAGCATCTGAGCCAGCTGGTTCAGAGCTACCTGGGCTGTGTCCACAGCAGCTTCTTGACATCAGATATGGGCTGTAGCAATTCTCTTTTTGAGATAAGAATTTCCTAGTGCTGATCTCACACTGGCACCTCCTCTTTGCCACTTCAAACAGCTCTTACCTTGTCTGGCTTTGGGGCTGCTGAATAAATTCACAGTGGGACAAGCTGGTCATGCAAGGCCCCCTCAAGGTGGAGCTCTCAGAGGAGCTGCAAAGCTTCTGGGATGGTAGGGAGGGGCTCTGCTGCCTGTGCTGCTGCTTCTCCCCACCTTGCTCTGCTCCCACTGCCCTTGCTGTGGCACTGGCCCTCAGCTGGCTGATCCACCTTGTTATAGTGGGAGATGAGTGACTTGAGGAGGTGTGAGGAGAGGAAGAGACACAAGGGATTATTTTCTGGTTTTTAGGGAGCTGAACTGGCTCACTGCAGGCTCAGGTGAGTGCCGGAGCCTGGGCAGAAGGGAGGGATCATGCACCCAGCAGTTGAGGTGGTGCAGGAGCTGACCCTTCCCTGCTCACCTGGTGGCATTGCAGCTTTCAGTGTGCAGGCTGTCTCTGTCATCAGCCTGCCTAAAGCTGCAGGCACCCTCGTGCCCATCTGCTGGGAATGTCTCAGGAATCCCCTGAGGATTGCTGTAACAAACAGAGGGGTTGGTTTTGTATCTCAGTCTGGAAAACAGGCCCTGTGGGGGCTCCTCTGGTTTCCAAAGGAGCCCGTGAGAGAACAGCATCACATCTGGGCTTTGTTCAACATCAGCAAGGCAGGCAATGGTGAAATACAAATAAACACTGTCAATAGTAGCTGTGGTATACTCATAAATAGGTGCTGGTGAGGGAGAAGATTGGAAACACTCAACTTCCCTGAAAACTGAGAATTGAGCAGAGGCAACATCTCAGGGTGAAAGGCAGCATTGGGGTCACATACTCAGGGAGGGAACATGTGCAGCCACCTTTCAGAAACACACTGCTGTTCTTATTTCCTCCTGAAAATTTTCTCCCTGGTGGCCTTGACCCATTCCTGGAGCACAGTGCGAGTCACACATACCAGATGCAGTAAATTGCTTTTCTGAATGGGGCCTGTGTGCTTGCTTTGTACACTGGGGGATCCCTCTGGGTGCTCAGAAACCAAAGTTGCTTGGCACTTATTAGTGATTTTTGGAACCTGGTGGAAGCACAGAAAACCAGGGAATAACAGATCTAAAAAATATGAGCTGGCCAAAGCTTTGACAGAGCTTTTGTCTTCATGGGAGGCCTCAGGAACTGAGGAACACACCAGAAAATACACCAGAGCAAGAAGAATGCATTACTGAATCAGTTTGAGATGTGCCAGTTAAGGACAACTTCTGTATGCCCTGAAGTTGAAAGACCAGAGCAAAATTATATATATTTTTTTTTCATGCAAACCAAGCTTTTGTTCACATATGCTGCCACCCATGTCAGTTACAAACTTTGAAAATAAATAAAATTGTACTACAAAACCAGATTGTCATATTTTCTCCTCTTTTCCCTTCTTAAATTTGCCATATGCCATCAGACAATATGATTAATAATTCCTAAGTACATGAAAAAAACCAATTTGTTCGAGAATTAAGAAAACCTAAAACCACAAAGCCAGTTCACAAGTTGATTTTAAAAATAGATTTTCCTCTACACTTACAAGGTAGCAATAGCTCGTAAAACACTGGGAACATCTTAATTTTATCAATGATTGCAGGCTGAAAAATGCAAAGTTTCAGCCCACCCACACAGATGGGTTTTTTCATGCTTCTGTATTTGAATACCAGAAAGACTTTCATTTTTCTCCCTCACACTACATGTGTAAAATCAATCACAGAGTAGAAATTGTTGTAAGACTTGAAACTGGCTGAGAAGCCCTTTTTTCCAAGGTTATCAAATCATGGGAAACTTGGGGAGCTGTGATTTTTGTTATAGTGGTTGGGGGGGGGTGTTTATTCCTTTGTTGTTGTTGTTGTTCCTCAAGGGAAGTTGATTTCCTAAAGGAGTCTGACCAGCTGCAACAAAATACCAGGAAACCACTGACCAAGCAGTGTGCATATAAAAATTTCAGTGCACAAATTAAAAACAATACTGGCTAATTAAAAAGCTCCAATGGGAAGTCCAGACATTTGAAAATTCAATTAAAAAATTCTCTGGCACCCTTCTGACATGGATAAAGCTGGCATTTGCAGAACAGCAGCTTTCTCACCTGTCTCATTGAGATCCAGGATCCCACGCTGCAAAGGTTGTTTTTGTGCATTGCAATGTTGTTAATTAATGCTGAAATACCAACAATAGACCATTGTGTGCATCCAGGCACTTTTTATGAGCACAGGGTTGGTTTTTTTTCCTGGCTTCCTGCAAGTAAATTAAGGCTTAATCTCAGATTCACTGTCAACCTGGCATTCCAGTAAATATTAAATTTCTTTTCATTCATACCGTTTATTTTCTCCTCTCCTTTTCAGAGCCTGCCTCCCGAGTTGGAGGTAATGATCAGCTTGCAGAAAACAAATGTCCTGGAAGGTGAATTCCAGGAAAGAGCAGACTACTCCTTCGTGCATGAGCTGAGGGCAGCAGAGGGGCCCCACATCAAGGAAACCTTCCAGGAGGAGATCACCCAGTGCTTCCTCGAGTGCAGGTGAGCAGAAACACTGACCCCTGAACCAGTCCATTTGCCCCACAGAGCCTGAGTCTGAGTTCCCACAAACTGCAAAGCCCATCTTTAAGGCAGTGCTGTCAGTCCCAGGTGAGGAGTTAGTTCTGTACCAGCTGCAAAGCCCAAATGCTGAGCTGGAGGATTCCTGACCGGGGAGACCAGAGCTCCTGGCAGGGCTCAGAGGTGCTCCTTCAGTCACTGGCTGTGGGTCAGGCCCACGAATATTCAAGTGGGACACCTTCACCTTACACATTACCTTGGGCCCAGTCTTTGGAATCACAAGCAGCACACTCTAAACCTCAGGAGCAGTGACTTTTCTCCCTGAGGTTTAAGAGAGGGAACTCACTCTTCCATGAGATGGAAGGACCATTATTTGCCATAGCAAATCACATCACGTCACTGGCACTGCCATCCTGCTGCTGGTATTAGCCATGAATCTGAAACACTTTAGTTCTTGAGGCCTGACCTTGGAGCCACTCCCCCAAATGGAACCTGACTCTGCTGATCTCAGGGAAACTTCACGTCTCAGTAGAGTTAAGCACGTACTTACACAGTTTTAAACCCTCTGCTGACACCTCTGCTTCTCTCGGGAAGTTTACTTCAGCCAAAGAACTTTTCAGACTGGCAATTCTGACACTGGGAACTCTTGTCTTAAGGAGTATGGGCTGGTTTGATAATTTTATGGGATTTACCCATCCAGAGGATCAGTGTGTGAAAGTAAATTGGGAAGCAGCTACCAAAACTTCCAGGATTTGGCAGCAAGGCTTCATTTGCTCTGCATAAATCTGCTCTGCAAACTGTTTTTGTGTCTTGAGCTGCTCAGGGATGTTACAGGGCTCATATTTGTCTTGTGGACCAGTGTCATGCCCATTAATCATTGAGTGTTTGCTCGGGGTACTGGACTTGCCTTCAGCATGCAGTTTCCAGTTGGAAACACAAATGCATTCTGATAAAATCCTGCCCTGTTTGTGCCTTGGCTCCTTCAGTCAGGTTTGGGCAGCTGTGCTCCAGTGAAGTGTTTGTTAAAAAAGAAAGAATGATCAAAACCAGCACTCTCACAGGTCTTCCACAACCTATTTCTCTTCTTTCTTGCACTTTTGCCTCTTACAGACTCTCAAGACTGCAGTGTATTTTTACTCTCCTTTGGAAAGAGCTGCTGGTTTTACAAACCTCAGTTATTGCAAAGCACTTTCCCATTCCTTAAATCAGCCCTCTCCCAGGGCCTGCTCTGCACACTCCTTGAGCTGCCATTTCCTGCCATTCCCCACAGCTCCCAGCATGTTCTGAGCTACAGAAAGATCTTATTCCCTTTGCTTAGTATTCCTCACCTAATAGTAATTCTCTACCATAGGTCAATTGTGTCCAATTAACTTGGCTGTGGAGCTGGGGGAGAACTCCCTGAAATACTGCAGGAACCAATGGCAATGTTTCTGTAGCAGATTAGCAGGGAGCAGGCAATCTCCCAGAGAACCAGGCTGAGCCATAAACCTCTTTAAAGACATTATGAGACACTATTAAAAGTTAAATCTGGTCCACAGAGACCCTTAACAGCAGAGCCAACCAGCAGCCTAAGCCATCCAAAGGATCATTTGAGGGAGCTGAAGCCATGGTTCAGTGGAGGGAGGTGCAGAGGGGTGGCTGAGAGGGCACTTCATCAAAACTCCTGCTGCCTGGTTCAGGGCAGCCCTCAGCCCCATGTGCCTGTCTAAGGTGGCATGTAAAGTGCTGAGCTTTCTTTTTGCAGCCCTTAAAATCAGGATGGGACTTGCTTGCTACATTTATTCTCAGCTTCAGGTGAGACTCAAGGCTAGAGGCACACCAGAAGCCCAGACTATGAACAAACCTGATTAAACAAGCTCCAAGGATTCCTTTTTCTGGGTCTGCCTAGTCAGTAGTCTTGAATCTCATCTAGATCTGAAAATTAACAAAGATTAAAGGAGAGGCTGTAATTTAAGCACCACATTAACTGTTCTTGGATAGTTTTATGGATAATCCCCTGAGCAAGGGATTATATTAGATGGGACTAAGATACCCCCACAGGGTGCTTAGAGATAAGCCTCCAGTCAGGCTTGCTCTGCTGCTTTTGAGACAGAGTGAGAAAACAGCTCCCTTCCAACCTTGTACAGCAACCCACCCATCTGAAACAATATCATATTTTTACCATTAACCATTTCCTATCAAAATGGTTTGATTAGGCTTAAAACTGCTTTTAGGCTCAAGATGTGCAGTTCTGTGCCTGCCTGAGAGCAGGGTCATTGCAGTGGGACAGTGGGACTGCAATCTGCAGGTGGCACAGGGACAGTGTCACACTTGTTACAGTCAGTGTTTGATCAGAGAAGCCCAGCGTGGTCTGGGCTGGGAGGGACCTTAAAGCTCATCTCATTCCACCCCCTGCCATGGGCAGGGACAGTTTCCCCTAGGCCAGGCTGCTCCAAGCCCCATCATACTCCCTGCTACTCTCTCCTTGCAAATGAACTCTGTGTCATGACCCCTAAAAATCATTAGTGCATGGTTCAGCCAAGCCCAGACAGCTCTCATTGATAAAAGCTCTTGTGGTGATTTAGCAGATGAAATCGTGCCCCTGGTGAAGGCAGTGGGAGAGCTGCCATCAGCTGCAGCACAGGCTGGCCATGGCCCAGTGCTGGGGCTCGTTTGACTCTGGCTGCGTGAGGCAGTGATTTACAGAGCTGAGAGGAACCAGAGCGAGCTGCTGAGCCCTGCTCCTCACAGCAGGCCTCTGTCTGAGTGACCACAATCACTTTCCCCTCAGACACATTTGTTGGCATCCAAAGTACATTCAAAAACAACAAAAAAACCAGCCTGTTTCTCCACAAGGGGAGTGTGTGTATCCTGCAGAGCCAGGCTTTCCTGCCAGAGAACTGGGAGCTGTGTCCTGCTCAACAGAGGGCCAGGCCTGAAGTGTCAAGGTTTGCATTAATTATTACCTGCCAGGATATAGTTTGGCTCTCCCCTAAGCCAGTCTGACAGATCAACAGCTAATTGTAGCTTGTAAATTATTCTTCAACTAGGTTTTTTGACAGAGTTTACTATTTTTTATAGTCTATTAAATAAATAGATAAAGGGGAACAAAGATTCTTTTGAAAAAATTTTGCTGTGTGGAGTAGAAAATAAAGCCAAACTTCCATATTTTATCCTTCACTCTGAAAGGACTGTGATAGAAAATACAATTAGCAGGCATTGTCTTTCAGCACAGTTACTCTTAGATTACAAAAGGAATGAGCACATATTAAATTTCTCAACTTGTAAGAGCTGCTGTAAATATTTATCGTTTTCATTGCACAAAGGAGCAGCTTCAGTCATTTCAAGACCCAAAGCAGCTTCTTAGGAAGAGAGGTTATAAAAAAAGCCAAGGAAAGCAAAACCCCAAGGAATGGACTAAATTAAATTGTTCCAGTTGCTTATATCAATCCTACTGCAGAGAAGATAAAATAATTTTGTTACAACATTGCATTTTTCAGCCTTACCATCCATCCTTCAATTTACCTGGGTTGACTTCTGTGGAGCTACTCTTTTTTGGTTAGCAAATTATTCACATAAGGCCTTCCAAATTCCCATGTGGCCTTGTCCAGCCACACTAGAAAAGAAAGATAATTGTTTATGAATGCTTTGTGAAGAAGCATCATGCAGTTTACCTACAGACCTGCCCTTCTTTTATTTTTTTCCCAACAGAAGGAGTACAAATGATCCAAAATTAGCAGTTGCTACAATTCTATAGATATGAGTCTGGATGGTAATCACTTAAGTCCCACACATTCCATCCATGCAATTAATAACAAAGTTTCATATTAAGATACAGCAGAGCCGGGGTTTTAGCTTCAATTTCCTTTCCTGTTCCAAACCAAACCCATTTTTCTGTAATTTCACATTAGGGTTTTGTGCTGAATATGCAAAGGCAGTCATCATTTTCTGAACTCTTTACCCAGTGAATAAACCAGTTCCCAAAGAATGAGTCTTGTTAGAGTCATCCCTAAAATGAATTTCAAAAAGGGATGGGCAGAAAAGGGGAGAAGGATGCCTTTATTATCCAGAGAAATACAGCAGTATCTTTGTCTAAGACAAGTCTTTTCTGACAGAAATCAATACAAAGGATGAGAAATCAAGATGAGGTTTTTATTACCAGAGATGGCCTCCAGAATCACAGGGGAGAGCCTCATGCACGGGCTCTGCTGTGCTGTGCCTCATGCCCTCGAGCTGTAACAAATTACTCCGTGAATTTCTGGCAGGATTTATCCACCACTGCTCTGAGCTCTGGGGAGCATTTCATCAGTGCCATCACTGACCTAATAACAGGGGATCTAAGTAATAGCAACTTTTATGGAGGCTGTGTGTTATTCCCACAGATTTGGGGATTGGTTTTCGGGAGGGAGGAGGCAGTCAGGGGTAAATGTGCTTCCATAATAGGTTTACACTTTACTGATTAGCTTTGAATGATCTTCTTGCTCTGCCTGCTGACTCAAGTACTGTCAGAATAGGAATTGGCCAAGCTTCATGGTGAGTGAATGAGACTCCTCCTGAAGCAGGGGGGGGTTCCTGTGCTTTATTTATTCATTTTGAACATTCCTGACAGCCAGCCTGGGCTTTGATGCAGAGGGAAGAGAAAGAAATAGGAAGTGATGGTGTTTTGTTTCCCTTTTCTCCCCAGCCTGTTTTGTGGAGCTGAGTTTACTGCCAATACTCCTGTTCCTGGGGCTCCCTGGGCAGCAGGGGCTGGGGAAGGGGGAGGCAGGAGGGAGGTGAATGGAGAGAGAGGTTTTTGCCCTGAAACCCCACAGAAGAGGGAAAGCGTTCATTTGTGTTGATGCCTTGTCGAGGCTGACCTAGAACAAAGACTAGACAGAGTTAAAGAATAAAAGTAGGGATTAAGAAGGAGGCCTCAATGGATCCACCTTGGGCAGCACGAGAGCCCAGCCAGGGCTACACCTCAGATAAACCAAAATGGTCACAAAATGGATGACTGGTCACAGGGTCTGTCACTTTTATCATTTCTGCTCCATTTGCATATTGCAGTTCGTTGTCCCATTACAGCTTTAGGTTATGAAGTCCCATCCTTCTTGTTTTTCTCTCTCCAGCCCACGGTGTTTGTGCTCTTGGGCCTGAGATTTGGGTCATTTGTCCCTGGTCCCCAGCTGGAGCAGGAATTGTTTTGTCTCCCTGCTCTGTGCAGAGAGCTCACCATGCCCTAATATGAAGCTCAGAAGTACACGCTAAAGCAGCACAGAGTGTGAAAAACAGAAAAGCTCAAACCTGAGGCATCAGTGTCAGGCACTGCCCATTTCGCACTCCATGCACTCTGCCTTTTTGGAGTCAGTGGTGCAGCTGCCAGGCCATCCCTCAGCAGGGAAGCCTGGCCAACAGGGCAGAGAGAGATGGCACCCCAGCAGTGCCAGCAGCAGCACCCCCTGCTCTGCTTCCAAGGTGTAACAATTCCTGCCTTTAGTCCAATACAAGACCAGGGAATCACGGCTCCAAACCCAGCCGGGCTCGCGACGCTTTCCAGTCCCATCTGGCTCACCTCAGCCTGCCAGCACTGCTTTCCAGCAGCCCAGGAGCATGGACTGCAGCCTCCACACAGCATGGCAGCCACTCCTGGAACAGCTGATGGAAAATTGCTTCAAAACCAGGTTTGGTGGCACGGGCCTCTCCAGCAGACAGTTGTCCAAAAGCAAGCGCCGGGCTGAAGATCCTTGGAACACAATCAGAGACATGGAGCTCCTTGATCACAGGCCTCTTTCCATGCAATGCCCTGTGAGTCTGGAAGAACCATTCCCTACTTCTCAGCCACTCCTGCAGGGCATTCCTGCTGGAGGAACTCCTGCAGGAATCCCTGCTGAAATTTGTATTTACATTTAAATACATACTATGTAAACCTTCTAAAAAATTCCCTATAAATCCATTTCCCACACTGCAGGGGCATTCCTGCTGTAGGAACCTACCCAAAAAAATGCCTCTTTGGTATTTGGCACTTGATATTCAGCACAGAGAGGAGTTGCTGCCCACAAGAGCTGTCTGTAGATAGCTAAAGAACCATTCTCTTTTCACCTAATGAAAACTCTCATTGCCTGTTTTTCCTGTCATCATTGTCACATGCACGTGACATTCCACCCAGGAGCAGAAATTACCAGGTAGGAGCAGCTGTGAGCTCATTGTAATAATCAGGATTTGGGTATAAATAAGTGGTTGTCTGCTAATTCCACCAGATGAGGATGAGCTGAACTAAATTAGAAAGAGATCTATACCTGCACCATGTTTTCTCCTGTCCTCGCTTGGAGCTGAATACACCTTCTCCTGCCCTCTTGTACTTTGTGCAGTTTGCACAAACCAAATTCTTCTGGGAATAGCACAAAACAAGGAGATTCTCCTTCTGAATTCCTCTGCAGGGTTGTGTCCGTTTGCCAAATCTCCTGGTTTTCCTCAGGAGAGTGAAGACAAGCTCTGAATTATGGAAATGAAGCTCTGAAAGAGGATGGCACAGCCTGGAGTGTCCTCTGCCCAAACACTTGGCCTTCCTGCAGAAGTAAAGAAACTTTATTAGAAGAGGCAATATCTGGGGGAGAGGGTTTCTATCAGTAGTTTCACCTCTGTTTTCTGACAGAGCCAGCAATCCCAGGTTTTGCCAAGGCAGCAATCCCTGTATCCCAACAATGAGTGCTGGTGCTCTCTGAGTGCCTCTGTCCCCTGCCGGGAGGCATTTCTGCAGGGACAGCTTCCACTCAGCATCCCTCTCCCTGAGCACAGCCCAGCCTGCTCCCAGGTGCTTTTGGGAGTTCAGTCTCCAGCAGGAACCCCCCAGCAGAGGCTGCCCAGCACCCAGCACAAACATCCTGGCAGGCAGAGCCTGCTGAGCTCCTCGCTGCAAGCAGCCATGGCAGTGACTTAAAGACCATCTGTGGGAACTGAAATGCTGCCTCTGGGCTCCCGGCTCAGACAGCCTCCAAGACTGATTAATTAAGATAATTAGGAGCTGTAAACATTAATGGGTAATGTTCAAGCCTTTCCTAACACGTTCTTAAAAGCTTCCGCTGTGTAGTTATCTGTTGACTAATTTTGGCAGGCATCTTTAGGGCTGGAGGGAGCAGGGGAATGGAATGCAAATGCACCACTGGCTCACGGGAGGAGTGAACCAAAGCAAATAACCCACTGGGTTCCTTTAATAGAGGGGAAATAAGTTATCAGAAACAAGAGAATTGTTTGTTTATGGCAGGGGAGAGTGGAGCCTACAGCTCTGCAACCTGTTTTCCCATAGATTGGAATCAGCTACCTAACCTGAAAGCCATTTAAAACAAAACAACAACAAAAAAACCCTTCAGGCCTTTCTTGCTTATGGGATCATCTTTTTAGAAGCGTGAACCCCTCTAATTCCAAAGGAGGGACAGCTGTTATGAAGTCCACCTGCAGTTAATCCACTTTACTGGGTGTCCATGGATTTACAGGAGGCAGGGGACACCTCTGGAAGCTTCTGTGCAGTGGCAGAAGTTGCCTCCTTCAGTGCAAGCTCAGAATTTACGAGAGTGCTGACATTAATGGAGGCAGCTCCATGGCTTTGGGGGGCACCAGCAGGAAGCCCCTGGATTCATCTATTTCCCACACACAGATAAATCTTGGCTGCAGCTATCTGAAACAGCAAGGCCACTTGGACCCTGGTGTCACATCTCCAGAGAGGCATTGATAAGATCACCAATTCTGCTTTCTAAATCACCACAAACTCCGAGATAATGTTTTATTTCCAGTTTGACACCTGGATTTATGATTGCCACCTCTGTGCAGTGATTGAAAACACATGCAAAGGGCTCTTTGCAATCCTGGATTTTGCTCATTCAACTATCTAAATTTCTAAGGAACGAAAAGAAGATTCTTAAAGCAGCACAGGTGCAAATTGAGCTCCCCAAGGGGTTTTGAACATAACAAGTCATGCTCCTGAACTCTTATTTAATCACCAAGTGCACCAATGCTGCACATCTTCACCAGCGTTCCAAACACTGTGATTCCTTTCCAGAGAGACGCGCAGCTATGTCAGATCACAAAGCCCTTAGGGATCTTCCCTGACTGATCTCTCCTTTCCCTGAGAGGTTTTGCATTCACTGGGAAGAGGGTCAGGTCCTGATGTTGTTTAATTGTCCTCATTCCAAGCAGATTCCCATTGACTTCCACAGGGATTCAGAGAATAAGGCATTGTTGGTTTTGAGCCTTTTCCAAGGCTGTTGCACCAGGCAGAATCACAGTCTTGTTCTCTAAGCAGTTCACCAGTGCAAAACCAGAGAAAACCACATTTCAGTGCCGTGGCACTTTGGGCTTTCTGCTTTTGCAGGAATGCTCAGAACTTCGAGCATTTGTGAGCTGATACCCAGCTCTCCATCAGGCAGGATTTGCACTGCACACCTCTTGCCACACTTGCACACAAATGATGCAGAAGCAACATGAAAAGGCTCGTTGAGATCTCAACCCCACATCAGCAAAGCCACAACAAGCACAGTTCTTCTACAGACCAGGCTCTCCTCAACCTGCTTGCTACAAAATCCCTCTGCCCAAAAAGGCTTTACCTTTTCCCCACCCCATTCCTGCCCTAGTTTCTGTCTCTGTGGTTTTCAGCTGTAGACCAAAGGCAAGATTGTCCTCAGCCTGTGTGAATTTTTACAGGGATAGCAGAGACATTTCTGTTCCAAAAGGCACAAGGACCAAAGAGAAAGGTAAAACTCCTGTGGGCAAAAAGATGGGTCCAATTAGACATTTTCATTTATTTAGCGTAATTATTATGCCTTTAACTATATTGATCCATTCTCACAGACCTACCCATCCTGAGCACTGCTCTGTAGGATAACTCCAGGCTTCCCAATTTTTGATTTGTAGCACTCTAGAAGCAAAACTGACCATTACAAAAAATTGAGGCTAGATTCCCTTTCCTGCTTTCTTCAAATGGCTGCAAGTGACCCATGGATACCCACAGTCCACTGACCTTGAGGCTAAGCCTCCTGCTTAGAATTAAAGCTCCTAAAAATATTCCCTCCTTTATACATCCAAAAGTCTGGAATCAGCTAAAGTAAATAGCATTAGTCTGAGCTGGCCCATTTGCACACAAGAAAAATAAAATCTGGTGACTAATTAGTTCATTTTCCTAAAGCACTTCATACTCATCTCCATAATACTTAGGAATTAAAAGTCTGAAAATGCAAAGTGTTCCCGACCTAATGCAGCAACCCCCCCAGTGAGATTCCCAAGGACACTTCCCAAACATTAGGTTTATTTGTTGTCATAGATACTCACCCAGACACAAACATCAGTGGCACCCAGGGACTCACACTTGCCAGCAGCTTGTTATAATAAAGCTCTACATGTCTGAAAGGCAGGATTGGGCTTTTTTTAAATTTTTTTCCTGGAAAATCCTGCAGGCTGTGCCCGTTCAGTGGGTGTGTTAAGCTGCTGTCCTCCTCTATTCCTTTCTCAAGCAGAGTCCTAACACAGCAGGCTGGGTTTCTGAAGGCAGGCGCAGAGCAGTGGGGTGTTTCAAACTGCTGACTGGGGCCTGATGTTCACCTTGGAGCTGGCTTCTCTTTCAGGAATCCAGCTAGATTCCTACTAGGCTTGGCCCAGGGGAGCCTGCTCTGCCATCTGATCTGCTCTTGGTTTAACCAGCACAGCCTGGTCCCAATCAATGAGAAAGAAAGAAAGGAAGAAGGGAATGAATCCCAAGGGGAAGGGGAAGAGACCCAACCCAGCTATTATTTCACTCTACTGTGACAGGGAGAGGTGTCTTCTCCAGCAAGTTAATACAGAGCAGGAGGAAGAAGCAATTTTCCCCACTTCCCCATTTCCAACAAGCAAAGATCTGCTGGCATACAGAAACAAGAAACAGGCAAAGAAAAAAGAGCCAGGCGTCCCACTGGTGCCTGGTAGAAGCACTGAAGAGCCAGTGGCTGGCAGAGGAGAGGTGTTTAATGGATATTCTGGGAAGAGAAAGACTGAGGGAAAAGCTCAGAACAAGGGAGAATAAAAATGAGCATGAAGCACAGAGCAGTGGCTCCCAAGCTGCAGCCCTTGCTCCACAGATGGATCTCTTTGGAGAAGCAAGCAGAGGAGCTGGAAAAGGCATTTTCAGCCTTGGCTCTGTAGAATGCAAAGAAGAAAGGAGGCAAGTGGGGTAAAAAAGAACCGTGGCATGGACTGACACAAGCAGAGCAAAGGGATAGCAGAAGCAGCCACGAGGAGCTGGAGAGGCAGAATCAGAAGAGAAGGGATGAAAGAGGCATAAAACTAGGGGAATAAAACCCCTATGAGTTACCATTTTGATAAATAGGCACAGTTAGGACCAAAGACTGACAGAAAATAGGAAGTGTTTCCAAGGCAAAGACAAAAGAGCAGTTCCCAAAAGTCTGTGGCAGGTGAATATATTAAAAAAGACTTGATTGCCAAGAGAACAGATTTGACTTGGAGAAGATGAAGGAATCAAGTTATGGCTGGGAATGTGGCTGTGGATGACAGCCTGTTATTCTTTCCCCCAAGAGAAGAAGGATATGTTCAATTCTGAAATCCAGTTGTTTCCCTGTTTTCACTGGCAGGGGCTTTTTCCCACTTTTCACGCTAGGGACCACGGCAGGGGAATGTCTGCTGGAACACGAGGCTGATTCAGGGCACTGTGGCTCCAGTGTGCCAACAGGATTATTTAACAGGCTGCTGACAAGTTCCTCAAGTGCTGAATTCCAAGTGAATTCCACACCCAGCAGAGAAAATTCCGGGCTTACTCTGCAAATCCAAGGAGCAGGAGCTGAGGGGGAAGGAGGACACAGGCAGCAGGAGCAGGTTATCCCCTAAACCTCAACATCTCCATGGTGGAATAGCTGGAACAGGCTCTAGGTGACAGCAGAACACTGGCTGCAGTCCCAGGGCTGGGAAATATGGCAAGCACACTTGAGACAAAGCTTCTTCAAAAATTATTTGATAATTTCCCTCAAGAACTACCAGGCTGCTCCTTTCTTAGCTGGGCGGCGTGGGTTGGTGAGCACCTAGGGGAGCTCTTGCCAGGGCAAAATTCACATTAAAGCCACTTTCCAAATCCTGTGCTCTGATTCAAGGCTGGAAAGGTTTGGTGGCAGTATTTCTGCGGGCAGAGCAAGAACTTGCCTGAAACCTGAGTCACATCCATTCCTTCCAGAGCCAATGTGTTTCAGTTTTACTGGGAATTTCAGCATGGGGGAGATTAGTCAGACTCCACCAAGCAGGTTGTTTTTATTATCCAGGTCAGAGTCCAGGGCTTTTAAGTCATGCTGCATTGCAGCCCTGTGCAGAGACAACAGAAATTCTAATTATTTATAGTCATTTACTCTAAAAACACCCAGCTGTTATGGTTTGTGTGCTGTGTCAGACAGGTTTAGGATCATCCTAGGCTGAATAAAAGACATTTAATGGCATATAAGGGAGTTTAGGTGGCTCTTCTTAGGCTCTACTTGTACAAAATAACTATATCAACAGTAATAATAACTAAATCAGTAAGATCTTGTGCCAAATACAAATGTGTTTGAGTTTCCCCATCCCTGGAAGAGTTCAAGGCCAGGCTGAACAGGGCTTGGAACAAGCTGGGACAAGTGCAAGGTGTCCCTGGCCAGGGTATGGGATGAGATGGACTTTAAGGTCCCTCCAACCCAAAGCACCCCTTGATTCCACCAATTGAGCAGAGGGTGTAGAAGCATTAAAAAAAGCTGGTTCAGTATTTCCTGAGGCATTTATGGAATAGCAGGAAACTTGCTGGCCCTGAAATCTGTTCAAATACTCCCCTGTCTCTTGCCAGAGCCCCTTACTGCCTCAGTAATCGTCTGGTGGCTTGGAAAGGAAATTTACTCTCCTGCTTTGTGTTCCTCATCACACAGGGAAACCAGCTCTAAAACAGCTCTTCCCAGATTTATTTTTTTTTCTGGAAAGCATCTCTAATCCAGCAACCAGTCCTGAAGCTGCTGGTAGAAAGCATGGCTGTGAGCTAAAGCCAGTGTAGCTGCAGGACTCCTCCAAGCATCCCAAGGCAAAGCACAATTGTTCCAAAACTCCAGAGCCTGAGCTGCGCCATGTGCGAAGGTGAACTTCCATCACAGGCTCAGCTCTGGCTCTGGAATTTTAGAATCCTTCCACCTCCATCCCCTCCTGAAAAACCCCATCTCTGACACGTGGCTTTGTCCCTGTTCCTTGTGCCAGGCTGGCAGTTTGTTGGGAGCGGCTGATTGCTGCCTCTCCCACGTGTGTGCCTGCATTCCCTTCTGCCCAAATCTCCCATCCTTTGCCCCAGGGAGCTCTGCTGTCCTGCAGTGAGGCCATCCCAGACAGCTGATGCTCTGCAGAGGCCTGGCAAGCAGCACAGTCACGTCTCCAGGCATGGAAAACAACACCAAAGACTGAGCAAAGCTGCCCTGCAGGGCTCACTTCCCAACTGCACGTCCTACCCCACCTTGCCTTTTCCACCACTTTGGGGAAATTACCTGTGTTTGTGCTCTCTGCTGCTTCCCAGAGCAGGCTCCAGCTCCAAATTCCCGGAGAATATCCCTTTTATCCCTGGTTTTCCAGCCTCTTTGCCATGTTGCCAGCAATTCTCAGCAGCACCGACCCCGTCTACCAAAGAAATTATTTAAAAGCACATTATTAAGCCATCATTTAAATTAGCAATAATAAAAAAGCTGCACTTTGTGCTTATTTTTGATTAAATCTGAGTGTATCCCACTGAGTAATGTGCAGAAGGAATCAGTCATTTGGAGAGGCAAAAGGTATTCAACTCTATCAGTCTGCACAATTCCAGTCAATTTTGAGAAACTATAAATCATGTACCAGAGCCACATGAAACAGGTACAGGATTAGAACATCCCAATTTTTCCCTCCCAAAACTAAAAAGGTGATAGTTAAGGAACTTGGCACCTCCAGGCATTGCAGTGTGTTTCTTGGACTGCAGAGATGACTGGGGTTTTGAGCTAAAGCTCCTGATAAATGGCTGCTCTTAATACCATGCCTGGCTTACAGCTGAGCTCATCTGGAATGTTTCTCCTGGTTTTTTCCCACACTTTTAAAATGCCAAAGTAGAGGTTCTAAATTATTTTTCTTTCTAGTGAGCTCTTTGGTTATCAGCATTGGTCAGGAGTGTAAACATCTCTAATTTTATAGACGGGCTCTGCAACATTCTCCTTTTTTCCCTGGTTTTACCCTCTGTGTACACCTGATGGGGATTTTTTCCAATAAGGCTGCAAAAGCCACTTGGGATGAACGTGGAAAAATCAAGCACTGAGACTGCTTCCATCTGCATGAAATTGCCTCAGAATTATCATTAATTGCTCATTTATGCTTTCACATAAACCACAGAGAACCAGATCTCTTGAGGTGGGCAAGGAGCTGTCCCTGAGCCATGAGTGTTCCCTAGGGAACAAGAAGGTCAATGGGATGCTGGGGTGCATCAGGAAGAGCATTCCCAGCAGGTCGGGGGGGATCCTGCCCCCTGCTCAGCCCTGGGAGGCACGCCTGGAATGCTGTGTCCACTTCTGAGCTCTTCAGGACAAGAAGCTCCTGGAGGGATCCAGCAGAGTCTGCAGAGGGGATGGAGGGGTTGGAGCATCTCTGGGGAGGAAAGGAGGAGCTCAAGAGTAGCCACAGCAGAGAGGGGACCTCTGTAACGTGTATAAATATCCAAAGGGTGGATATTTATATACCTGGATATCCCAGAGCATGGAGCAGGCTCTCCTCCTCCATGGGGCCCAGCAGTGGGACATGAGGAACAGGCAGATGCTGATGCCCAGGAGTTCCACCTGAGCAGGAGGCAGAAATCCTTCCCTGGGCACTGACCAAGCAGTGAACAGAGTGTCCAGGGAGGCTGTGGAGCCTCCCTCACTGGGGATGTTCTGTGACAGTGGTCACAGGGGTTCTTGGATGAGGGAGGAGAGGAGAATGTTGACTCCATGTTTCAGAGGGCTTGATTTATTATTTTATGATACATATATTACATTGTAACTATACTAAAGAGTAGAAGGTTTCATCTCAGAAGGCTAGCTAAGAATAGAATAGAAAAAATAATAACAAAAGGCAGCTCTCTGGGACTCTGTCTGAAATAGCTCAGCCTTGATTGGCCATTAATATAAACATCTAAGATGGGCCAATCAGAAATTCACCTGTTGCATTCCACAGCAGCAGATAACCATTGTTTACATTTTGTTTCTGAGGCCTCTCAGCTTCTCAGAAGGAAAAAATAATCCTAAGAAAGGATTTTCACAAAAAGATGTGTATGACAATATTCCAGAGCCATCCAGACACAATCCTGTGCCCTGTGCTCTGGGATGACCTTGCTGGAGCAGGGAGGCTGGACCAGACCCTCACTGTGGCCCCTTCTGGGATTCTGGGCAGTGAAAGAGAAAGCAGTGTCTGGTCATTCCTAAAAACCACTTTCAGCTTCTCCTTTCCCACTGACATTTTCCTGCTGCATCACAAGTGCTTCTGAAGGCAGTTCAGTCCTAGGTGCAAATAGTGATTCCAGTTCGAAATGAAATTCCAGCCACTCTCCCAAGCAGTGATGCAGTGCCTGATGAGCCTGGTCACACTCTGTCCTTTGGAAACTCGTGAGGTTAAACCATGGTCAGGCAGCACGTCAGGGGCACAGGGATGTGTGACACAGTGGCTGACACAGTGGCTGGGCAGCATTTTGGTCCTGAGAGGCAAAAAATGAGTTCTGGCAGCCTGGGCTGGATTTCTGCACTGATACCACAGCTATAAGGCAGAGATAGAAATACTGAAATGTGTCTGATGCCACCTCAGACACACCATCCATTTTCATCACCCTGCAAAAATTACATCAATGAAAATCACATCATTTACCCATAAGCAGGGTTGTCTAATCGTCATATCACTCCTACATGTCCTCCTTGTTGGAATGTTAGATATCTAGTGTTGGAAAAAAGGATGAAAGCACAGAGCTTCTGTGCTCCTCCCAGGCTCCCATTCCCAGTTTTCCAGGCAGATGTAAAGGGTGTCCCTTTGCACAGCACACACGGGAGGCTGGCACACCCCGGGAACACTGCATTATCCTCAGTTTTAAGTGATGGGCCATGGCAAAGCAGGGTGGAGTAGTCAGGTTAGAGCCTTTTTCCCCTCCTGTAGAGATGCATTTTGGTCCACCTTGACTTCTGAGAAGCAAAAACATTTGCTCAGATTTCTCATAAACAAATCTCATAAAGCAAAATGCTCTCTTATACTCCATTTCGCTCCAAATCCCAAAGAAACTTGTGATGTTGGAGGGCAAGTTATTTCTTTTGGCTGGCCTTGCTAGAAAAAAATGGCATGCTTTATTTTCCTCTTTACAGGATTCATATTGTGTTAATAAAGTACTCTTGATTCCCTCTGGCTGACTCTGCAGGAAAACTATTCTTACAAAGCTTCTAGTCTGGGTTAAAGTAATCTTGCTTAAAACTGCCCATAATTGTTTCAGTCTCTTAAGTTGAATGCTGAGCACTGGAAATTCTGCCAAATTTGAGCCAGGATTGGGTGTTCTGTGCTGGCAGGATAAGCTGACCAAAGGTAAGGAATTCAGTAAATGCAGGGGGAATTTGACCTGGTGTTTCTTTGAGCCAGCTTCTGTATTTCTGACCTTGCTCTGAAGAGAGTGGAAAGACACGAGAAAGTCAAACCAGATGAGAGTTGAATGGGAGCTATTCCATCAGCGAGGCCCCAGCCCTGGAGCAGCCCCTGGGGGCAGCTCTCCTGCTCAGCAAGG